GATTTGTCAATCAAAATTTGTTAATCCAAATAGAGAAGAAAATTTATTCATTTTCCGTCGAATTATATATATATATATATACACACGTATATACGAGAATTAATAAAATTTTTCTTATTTTATACAAATTTATAATCTGGAAAAAAGGAATGAATATTATCCACCCATTTTATCACTTCCATTGTGGTAACCAAAACAGAAAACTCGTCGTTTTTAATTAACACTTCAATAAAAGTGATTCCTTTGTGTGGAATAATGATCTCTCTTAAATTATTTCATACCGACGTATAAATACGCGGCAACGAGGCAAAAGACACGTGCCATTTTAAAAAAAGAAATGAGAGCTGCGATCGCCCCAAGCCAAGTTGTCTTATATGACAAGGACAACGAGTGATACTCCCGTATGAAGCACGTAAGAAAGAAGAATGCAGTGTTTAATTTCGCCCCTTAACCGTGTCACTCAGCCGAAAAATTGTGCTGAGATTCCCTCCACGTTGGATCTACTTCCCCCGTGTATGCGCTAGTTTCAGTTGTTGCCCGAAGCCTATCTTTTTCTCTCCCCCCCCCCCCCCCCCCTGATTCCATTTCGCTCGAGAATCCTTTTCTAAATATCCAAAAACATTTATCTGGATATTTAAAAAGAGAAGAATAACGTTTTAAAGATTTTAGATTAACATTGTACAATTACTATTTTGGAATAATTAATATTATGACAAATTATTTTCTTACGATTAAATTTTTCTTCTTTTAAAATCTTCATTCTTTTTATAGCTCGTGTCTCAAATTGAAAAGATTTTACAAAATTCAAGATTTTAGATTAACAGATTTGTACAATTACTATTTTGGAATAATTAATATTATTGACAATTATATTAATTAATATTATTAATGACAAATTATTTTCTTACGATTAAATTTTTCTTCTTTTAAAATCTTCATTCTTTTTATAGCTCGTGTCTCAAATTGAAAAGATTTTACAAAATTCAAGATTTTAGATTAACATTGTACAATTACTATTTTGGAATGATTAATATTATGACAAATTATTTTCTTACGATTAAATTTTTCTTCTTTTAAAAGTTTCATTCTTTTTATATCTCAAATTGAAAAGATTTTACAAAATTCCAATGTTCGATATTATTATCAACGTCAATGAAACTTGAGCGATTGTTTTTCCAATCTCGGTTATCCATATTTTTTCCTCAGTCAGCTTTCAATAAACGAGCTCGACTCACTATCTGCTACCTACGTGATTCATATTACAATTCGAAGCCTTTGTTTATTTTCAATACCTGGCTTACAGACGCGCTCGAAAACCTTAACAACATTCACGAATATCTACAAAACAATCGTATACAAATAAATAACGCGAATCCCAGTCGTTCAAATTTAAATTTATTGCGAATTTTCGAAAGAAAAAAAGAAAAAAAAAAAAACGATAATGCACAATCACTGCCTCCCAATCGTTCGAGTTTAATTTAACGAGGAGATAAATACAAAAAGCCTTTAAATCTTTTAATCGAACCTCGCTTTGATCAATTTTTCATCGGATGTACTTTCATACGCGGATCAATTTTAAAAACTTCTTGATAAAAAATTAATTTCGCGTCCGAGTATTTATTCTATTTTCACCCCTCCCCCATGGGAAATTCTATTTCGACGCGAAGAATCACCGAGATATATATTTCCATGTATTCCACCAATCGTGGATTTTTCCACGATTGACGTCGCCAAAATTGTCGACGAGATAAAAGGAGATTTGCATCGAACATCGTTCGAACATCGTACCATCCAATACGTATTATTAATTAATCATTGCGGCGTGGCAGTGAATTCGAAAAAAAAAAAAAAATATTATGGAAATTCTTGGCCGTTAATTGTGCCGTATAATAATTTTTATAACAATAGGGTAAACGTATCATTAGCGAGGGCGACGAGGGTCGGTTTTGAAAAGCGTATTTGCACAAGTATGCAATTTGCAACTTTTAATAGGCGAGTTCTGATTGTTTTTATTTCGTCTGGTTCATTGTCGCCCGTCAATCAAATTGCTCGTTTTGACGCGTTAAATTATCGTTGCTCTTCGTTCCTTTTCTTTTTCTTTTCTTTTCTCGTTCGAAAATTTTTTTTTTGGATCGAAGGACGATAAATGTTGCGATTTAAATACTTCTAATAATACTCTAATAAATTTATTATTAATTATTATAAATAATACCGTGGATTTTTAATACAAGATCAGATACTCGACTAATACAAACGTTTCAAGATTATGCAATATTTAACAAGTTTTCTCATTTGCGTTTCTAATTTGAAAAATTTCATCTTTCAATATTATTCGATGCAAAATCTCTATAATATAGAATTCCTTTAAAATTCCAGAATGCATAAATTTCTCAGATTGAACTAGATTCATCTAAACAAAATCCATCATCTTCGAAACTTCCTATACTAATTTTAATACAAAACAAATTTTGCTATATATAACTTTCTATCAAGACGAAAAAAAGCATATTCTGAGAAATATTCTTTTGTTTGACTCGTTTGATAAATTATTAAACTACTATAATAGGTAGAGATACATCTATCGTCGAAAGATTTACAATTCCACAAGTTGCACTTTGACCAGGAACTCGAGGAGTTTCCGGAAACGCGGGCAAACGTGGAACCCGCGAGACATTTCGGCTTCCGCGTTACAACTTCCGGCTATTCGGATGTTTCGCACCGGTGACACGGCGGTAATTACAATAAAGTCTCAATGGATGAACAGTTTCGCTCGGTTTGACGAGTTCAAAATGGGTCCCGCGCTATTAGCATCGGTTTTGTGGCAACCTAAGAATCGTAATAGAAACCTTGGGCAGTTTCCAACATTGTTGGGAGGGGAGTTTTCGTGAAAATTTCCGAGAACTGACAATGAGAAACGATCTCTTCGACGAGAATACGAGGATACGAGGAGGAATCTCGAGATCGAATCTTGATATATTGTAACGTGTTCAATAAAAAATATAATTACTCTGGATTTGTTTGAGACATTCAAGTCTTTATTATCTAGATTTAAATGTTGGTAAAATTGTATGAAATTGCAATCTTAATCCTTTCTAGCAAATGCTAAGGTGAAAATAATACAAAAGAATGCAAGAAATTCTCAACTTCTTGATGATAAAATTAATGATAAAATTATCAGAAGATATTGTTTGATTTGAAAGGAAAAATTTTCCAAAGCTTTTTTTTAATCACGTATTTTTATCATCACGATATGATTTATATAATCGCTCGGATGCAAAAAAATTTGGAAAATTAATGCAATGATAGTAAAAACAATTGGCAGTGGAATAGAAATATTAAAATATTTTCAATATAATGCTTGAATATTCCATTATTAAACAATCCTGCTTAAAATTACAATGAAAAATCTGAACACGATGATCATTCCATAATAAAAATATTAATTTCCATAACAAAATATTAATTTTTCGTTACATAAATATTCCATTGCAAAATTATTCTCAACACCCTCCTTTTGAAAATATCATTTTTATCATTGATGGAAAGAGATATTGTCACGAATCTTTCCACATTTTAACCAAAGAATGTTCAACCATCGAGTACAATATTATAATTAAATAAAAAAAAAAAAAAAAAATCGTAATCTCCATTCAATCTCTAATAGTACCTCTTCGACGATGCAAACACGGAAACCATTTCCATTGGAAATATACATATTTATCACACGGTTTAGGCTCGCATCCCTGGCGATACCTGGCGATACCTGTCGAGAGTCGGTTCCGCGGCTAAAATTTCAAAGTAATTGGCATCCCTTTCATGTAGGCAAATTCAACCGCACTTTAATAGTATGACATGTTGCGTGTGTCAAGATAACCGATTCAGTGGTTTAGCCAGCTACCACTTCGGATTAGTACTGCGGCTTTCTCGTTTGTCGAATTACTGGGATTACCCAGATTACACGGATCGTACAAGTACGATACGTCTAATACGAGTTATTCCACGCATATCTTACTACCTGGTATCGTCGCCGTTTAATCGATTAATTAAATTATACGCCACCTCCGGTTTGTGCATCGTGAAAACCGCCTCCTCCTCTTTGATGCCTGTATCCATCGTCTTTTCGAAAGATCATAAGAATTCACGAAGAATTCAATATTTAACGATTAATGTTTCGTTGTTCACGTCATTAAATGAATTATTCGAAAACTATAATAATTCAATGAAATATAATAATTCAATGATTAGAAATTGTATTCATATTTAAGTAAAATTAGCAAGGTATACCTAAACATTTATCTGAATTAAGTTTCTTTTTAGAGGGATTCAGAGAATGAGAAATTGAAGGAATGAAAATAATATCTGATTGAATAAAATAATTATTGTAATTATTGTGTATAAAAATTGTATTCGTTTAAGTAAAATAAGCAAGATATACCTAAACATTTATCTGAATTAAGTTTCTTTTTAGAGGGATTCAGAAAATGAGAAATTGAAGGAATGAAAATAATATCTGATTGAATAAAATAATTATTGTAATAAACAGGTTTTGTTTATACGATATAAGAATTTTTAAAAGAAAATTTTATTATGATTTTCGTTCGAGAAAAATAATCACACAAATAATTTTTTACGATTTCCTTTTTCACGAGTATGAGAAGATATTATAAGTAATTCGCTATTTTCTAGTGTGCTTGGTTTAAGAAGATATCATCTTTCGCTTTTATTTAGAAAGTTCAGAGTTTGTTCTTTTTCTCTTTATCACTTGAACCGTAACTTTTCTTATTGCAAGTTTTTATAAACTTGAAAAAGAATTTCATAGATTATGCGCAACGTACTGTAACGTTCTTGATAACGATAGTTCAAGGGATTAATTTTTTCACGGTGGAAGAATTTAATACTCTTTCATATATAAATGAAAATTAGCATAATAGACAATTGTATCGATGTGTATAATGTATAATCGGATATGTAATTAAAAAATAAATCATCATGAAACTTACCAGTGACGTTAAGTATGATATGCTGAACATTGTTGCACTCTCGATTCACAGCCAAGTAAGTAGCTTCACATTTGTATAGGCCTTCATCCTCCAACTTGACGTCAGGAATCTTCAAGAACGTCTTCGACGAATTTGTCGTGTATTGTATGTCAGACCTAGAAACACAGAAATAACGAACATTATTACAAGATAATAATCAAAATATATTCGCAATAAAAATCGAAAAAATTGATCATCCTTGCAATTCTACGACTTAACGATTATTTCTAAGAATTTTCTTTATGACGTTGATTTACAGAAAAAAAAGTTTGAATATTTAATTAAAATATAAGTTAAATAATCTTAATTCTTAGAATGCATATCACGAGAGATTTCGAGCAATTATTATTAATTTTTGCCAACAATGATACATGAACAAATTTTATATATTATTTATTATATTTTTCCACTTGTATAGATTACACTCCAGTTACGTATGTTTTCAAATTTTATGAGCCAAGATCACCAATGATATTGAACGACAGGAATAATTCTTATTTCTAAACGAATGATATACGTGGTTCGCTGTCGTTCGCATGATACATTTGCAATCTCATTAGTAAGCCGTAATGAATAGAACAATGAAGCGGATCAACCTGCATACTGCGTTGTTAAATCGATACCGCTTTACTTACGCCAGTAAGGAAACAATAGGATTAGGATTGTATACAATACAATCGCATATTCTATTTGCCTGATACAGTTGCAGCGGTGCATCAATCACTGTCGATAGAACTGGTACAATGCGATTGACAGATCGTCAAAATCATTCGACTTCGTTGAACGATTCGAATGGACGATTCTTTTGGGTGAATCGATGATTTATCGAGCAAAAAATGAATATAACCAACGACTAGTTAACTAGTCGAAGGAAATAATTCGATATGATACCAGATGTTTCGACACGAGTGATGTCTACTGTATTTTCCTATGCAAAATTGAGTCAAAAAAAAAAAAAAAAGAGAATACAATTTTGATTTTTCCCTCATGGCTTTCTCTACAGGAATTTGAAATCTAATAAAATCCCTTCCCTAATTTTCTAATTGCTATCCCAAAATATTTATTGTATGCTACAAAAAAGCTTATAATTATACTTTATTTGAACATTTTATATTAAATAATATAATTTTGGAAAATTTCAATATTACACATGATTATTGGAGATCATCGATATAATTCGGAAAACAATCGGTGCCAAAATAACTGTGCGACTCGAAATCGTATTAAATCGTATTGTACGTGTGTTATAATTAACAAATCGATCGAAGGCAACAATTCGTTGCACGTCAAACAAATTACCAAATCAGACGATTGTTTAAATCTATCGCCGATATTTCATCATATTTCTCGAACTCTGAGCGCGTCGCAGTTTCGGTTCGTTAGCAGGAATGCTTAGGAAATCGGAGGTACGACGAACAAACCACGGGGTGGCGCAATATATCCGAATACCGGCGATAATTGTTATTAACTAGTGCGTTTGTTCATTAATGCAATGCACTTGTGTTGATTGCCAACGGAATGATACACACACCAGCTGTACAAATAAGCTCAACAGCATGTAAAATGCCAATCCACTTGTGCTCTCCTCGTATAATCTATTTATTGTTGCTGATACATTCGCGTTGCGTGACGTTTCATAATATTATGAGTACGGAATCTGGTTGCATTGTTGTGTTGAGGGAAGATTGAGGGATTCGAGATGGAGTCATTACGCGGAGGAAAAGAAGATTTGAACTAGCGTGTAGAGGAAGAATATGAAGAATTTTTGGAAATGAGTTTTCTTTTTTTTTTGAAAAATAAAAGTCACTGAGATGTGGAAGATTTTGAGAGAGTTTTCTATCTCGATAATGGCATCGAAGATCAGGGTATAGAAGACATGGAATATACAAGAAGAGGAGATAGACATATGTAATGAAGTCTAAGTAGAAAAAGAGAATGGACAATGATGAGAAGAATGTGTAGTAGAGGAAGATGTGTGCGTTAGTAATCTTAAGATTTTGGTTATTTATTTTCATTAAAAGATAAAATATTATTTTTGTATTTTATCTCGTAAAAAATTGATGAATGCCAATGATTTTTTATATCTAATTTTGTGTTTGCAAATAATAAACTAATTGGATTAATTTAGTTTTTGAAATATATGCTTTTCTTTTAATAATACACATTTTATTATTTTGAATTTTTTAAATAAATTTTCTAAAAAAATTAAAGTAATATTTACTTTATCCTTATTTTTAAACTTTTCGTTGGAAAAATTTCTTTTTTTATATTTTTCGTTTTAAGTTTATACAAATACTTGGAACGTACAGAATTTTTTAAACTCGTCAAAGAAGCTTCGTTTTGCAAAGGAACTCGAAGAAACTCTCTGTCTCGTGTTTGGACGAATCGCGATCTTCCATTAAACTTTTCACGATATTCTGTCCTTGTCGGAACAGCTTCTCTTTGATCTCTTTAGTCGTCTTTTACAACTAAGTTTTATTATACAGCGTCATATTATATTTCCTAAATTGTTAAAATATCTTAATATTAAAGTTATAATACTTTTTATTTCTCAAACTACGTTAAACACGTCAATTGAAAAACAAAATATTTTATTGAAACTGTTTATATTGCACAAATTACAAATCAAGTTGAACAAATTTCTATCTAGTTAATTTATTTTATCTGATTGGAATTTAATTCATAAGAATGATTATTTAACAATTTGTTCCATCAATTTATATGAGAATATAACAAATAATGTTATGTCTAAATAGCAATACGTTAAAACAATAATTTATAGATTAATTTAATATCAATAATTTTTGCTTCAATATAAGAAAATAGGATATACAATATATTTCACAATTTTCGAATAAAGATTTTAAATATTAAAGAATCAAAATCATTCCTACGTATTCCCTTTCTATGAATCGTTTTATCAATTGATCAAAAACAAAAATCTCATATTTCTTTCGATATTTTCTAAATCTACCAAGTTTGAAAAAAAAGAAAATAAAAATTTTTAATATCAAAATCTTCTCAACAATAATAACCTAACATTAAAATAATTTTCTCCATGATCCTCACATTAATAAGTAAAAACTAGAGCATAGTATACGTATAATTAACTATTCTTTCCTTACCTACGCGCTAACACGCTAGTTAAATTAACTATAAATTGCTTCCATTAAAGCGTTTCAGCTAACCAGTGTACGACAAAACGAAAAAAAAAAAAGAAAGAAAAAAAAAAAGAAAAAGAAAAGAAAAACGCGCGTTTTGCACGAAAATGCAAGTATCGAGCGTCGAAATGATCGGGGCAAGTTACCTCGTTCAAATATATTTTAAATCCTTTCCACCGTCCAATACATTCTAAATCGAAATTCACGTTTTCCATTAGAGATCTTCCGCTCTATCCGATCCTCTTTGTCGCACGAGATCGAAGCGTACTCGCGTCTACTTATGCGCTTAAGCACGGTCCCGTAATCAGAAGGAATCGGAATTTCGTGCGTGTGATCGAGTATCGATCGAATTTCGGATGCTCGTTGATCCTCTTTCGAAAAGAATGCATAACGCCGTGGGTGAATTAAACACGATGGCGCTCAGAGAATAAAGGAAATAAATCGATACTTTTAGTGGATTTGTTAGAGATCTGGGAATGCAATTTTCTGTTCGATTTTTTCGCCTATGTACGGAGAATTTTAGTTTTGTTTCTTCTTTTTTTTTTTTTTAAAGAAATTATACTTTAGGAAAGAAAATAATTGAAGAATTGGGCTTTAAAATAAAAATGATAACTAGGAAAATGAAAGGATTTGCAAGTATTAGATGAAAATTTAATTTTTAAAACGATTGGTATTAAAATATTTTATATGGTATTTAAAATATTATTTTTTTATTTAATCGCTATTTCAAAGAAAATTTCATCTGGAATATTCTGTGTTAGATATATCTAGAAGGAATAAAAATATTCGTTCCTATTTATTTATTTTAAAAATCTATTTTGAGTAATTTGAAACGTAGAATTATAGAAATATATATTGTTTTCTAATTTTATCGTTAAGAAAATTAAATTGAATTTATCAATATCATATATAAGTATAGCTCAAGTTGTAAATTGATTTGTACAATTGATTTGCAGCTTAATTATAAAATTAATTAAATCATATGAAAAAGTGAAAAAGAGAAATCTGCAATATTGAAAGACAATCAATATTTTAATTCTTAATTATAATGTGAAGCAAATTTTAATCTGTGAAAACCTCCTTGATATTCTCTATGATAGACATAAAGAAAGTATCAAATTAAGTTTAAGATAGCAAACTTTTACTTCAATGGGATGTTCAGTTCAATGGGATTTTTGTTACTATATTACAAAATTGCATGCAAATATAAAACTTGTATAACTCAACTGTTATACATCTAATTATATAGTTTATAAATAGATATTTGTGCAAAGTGATATTGTGTAAATAAAAATGAATTTTTTTTATGAATTTTTGCATGATATAAAAGCAATGCAAGGTATATTCTGTTGAAAAGTTTTTCAATCTGTCATTCGGTGTATGGAAAGTGCTCATTATAGAATTAATTAAAAATTTAATTGAATAACGAAAACGTATAACGATATTGATTCAAATATTCTGAAATCCATAAAATTTAATTCATATTTCTTTTGAATTATTTATATATTATTGCTATTAAACTTAAACAACTTAAATTTTAGAAGCTCGTTGAAAATTATGTTTAAATTTTTTAATAAAAATTTTCATTGTATATTTTTATTCCCGGTATCAAAATATTGTAACAAAACATTACTGCATAATTCGCATTTTTGTATATTCAAGATATTAATTTTCAAGCTTAAAATTTTAGAACTTTATGAAAATATCATATTGAAATTATATTTTCTTTGAATTTTTATTTTTATAAGAAAAAATTATACATATTTGACTTTGCAAATGTTAGTATAATATAATGGATATATGATAGAATATTTCCAGAACCATTCAGAATATTTCCAAACATTTGAAAGTTTATAAAAATAGCAAAATTATATGATTCAATTTGTGAAACCAATTAGAAATTATGTAAGCAATATTTTTATCAACAATAAATTAAAGAATTATTTCTAAAGAATATTTTTCTAATCTATAATTTGTATCTTAAGCGATTTTCAATGTATTCAAAAATACAAATTTTAGAAATTCGTAAATAATAATACGATTCATATATATAATAATATTCAATTCATATCAATTCACGTTTAAATTATTATTTTAAAATCAATATTTAATATGCTAATATAATAATTTTGATAATAGTTAAACTAAATTCATCAAAGCATCAAAGATTAATTCAAGTAAAACAGAAATACTAATTATCGATTCGAATCAATAGAGTATATCCGAAACATATAGATACGAGATTAATATAATTGCTAATTATGGACACAGTTAAGATTAGCCCATTAGCGGTAGGATCGTGTAGATAGGAACCAAGTATTAATCATGCATTCCATTTGTCAGATGGTCTGTCCTAGAGATTGACGTACGAATCGCCACGAACATTCTGTCAAATCCTTTGACCTTCCGATGACCAATATCGCACTATTCAGTCGCAATATGTTTCTAACATACACGATCGATTGTGTCAAAACGTTTACGTTTCGAAATATGTCCATCGTATTCACTATTCGAACTCGTGTCGACTCTATGAAATTCGAACTAATAAATTTCTCTCACAGCAAATTGATTAAATTTACAAAGGTAAACATGAAATGCTTCGGTTATTCGCAAATGATCTGATTAATCGAATTAATCTATGTTTCCTTGAGCTATTTTCTCTAACCTATTTGGCTTCTTAAAGGTTATGTAGCATATAGGTGTTTGTAAAATATTATATTAAAATTATGGAAAGAGAAATATAATTTCTATTATATCATATATTGTATTTCTATAAAATTTTCCAGAATATTGTTGTATATTCATATAATGAATATTCTATATATTATGTACAGTGTAAGATTTTATTTGGAAAATTAAAAGAAAATGATTGTATATTTTATTTGGTATTTTGTATTTCAATAAAAATTTATTAATATGATTTCCTAATTAGTTATTATTCTATATATAAGTTAATTATTTTAATACTAAAAACAAATTTCATGACTGTCATTTAAGGCAGTCAAAAGAGGTTATAATGAGATTATTATTGTATAATTGAAATGAAAGATATATAATATATATGATTTTATCTTAAACCTTTGCTTTTTCTTCAATTATTTCTAATATATGTACAATACGTGTACAAAAATTAAGCCTAATCTATATAAAAGTGTAAATCAAATTATCAAAATCTATGTAACCTCATTTAACAACAAGAAATATAACCTATTACGAACTAATTCTCAAAAAACAGTTCGATCAAATATATTATTGGATCAATATACACAAAATCGAGAAAGATGAAATATTAAAGCGTATCTAAACTAAATATCAAGAGATTGTTGACGACAAACGAAATTTGTCATTTTCAAGTAGACAAATTCTACTGCGCACAATATAATAAAAGAAATATTTTTGCTTCCAGAATGGAATAAAAAGTAACAAATGTGTAAATACCTGTTTAGAATCCGATAATAATGTAGAAAATATGCTTCATATCACACACTAGGTTCATTAACTTCAATAAATACAACAAAACTAAGAGAATTTTCCACAATACGACAAACAAACGATCGGATAATAATGGCGACTGACATTTGGGCGGGAAACGTGGTAAGTGTCTAGTGTTCTAGTGGCGCTCTCGAAAATTGTGCAACTGCGCAATTAATAGCGCGTAATTCGAACGTACTAATATCAAATATAATATTAAATATTAAAATAATTTACTTTCTCTAATTAATTTCTATTGCATATATTTATATAATTTAACTATTTTAACATTAAAAATAAATTTCCTGATTATAATTAAGAGGCTATAATGAGATTATTATTGTACAATTGAAATAAAAGATTAATATAATTGATTTTATCTTAACCCTTTGCTTTTTCTTTAATTATTTCTAATATATGTACAATACGTGTACAAAATTAAGCTTAATCTATATAAAAGTGTAAATCAAGTTATCAAAACCTACGTAACCTCATTTAACAATAGGAAATATAACCTGTTACGAACTAATTTTCCAAAAACAATTCGATATCAAATATATTAGTGAATCAATATATAAAAAATCGAGAAAGACGAGATATTAAAGCATATCTAAATTAAATATCAAGAGATTGTTGACGACAAACGAAATTTGTCATTTTCAAGTAGAGAAATTCTACTGCGCACAATACAATAAAAGAAATATTTTTGCTTCCAGAATCGAATAAAAAGTAACAAATGTGTAAATACCTGTTTAGAATCCAATAATAATGCAGAAAATGTGCTTCATATCACACACTAGGTTCATTAACTTCAATAAATACATTCTAAAAACTAAGAGAATTTTCCACAATACGACAAACAAACGATCGGATAATAATGGCGACTGACATTTGGGCGGGAAACGTGGTAAGTGTCTGGTGTTTTAGTGGCGCTCTCGAAAAATTGTGCAACTGCGCAATATTAATAGCGCGTAATTCGAACGTACTAGTATCAAATATAATATTGAATATTAAAATAATTTACTTTTTCTAACTAATTTTTATTGTATATATAATTTAACTATTTTAACATTACAAATAAATTTCTTGACTATAATTAAGAGACTATAATGAGATAATTATTGCATAATTGAAATAAAAGATTAATATAATTGATTCTATTTTAACCTTTTGCATTTTTTTCAATTATTTCTAATACATGTACAATATGTGTACAAAAATTAAGCCTAATCTATGTAAAGTGTACATCAAGTTATCAAAACCTATGTAACCTCATTTAAAAATAAGAAATATAACCTATTACAAACTAATTCTCCAAAAACAGTTCGATATCAAATATATTACTGAATCAATATATACAAAATCGAGAAAGACGAGATATTAAAGCATATCTAAATTAAATATCAAGAGATTATTGACGACAAACAAAATTTGTCATTTTCAAGTAGAGAAATTCTACTGCGCACAATACAATAAAAGAAATATTTTTGCTTTCAGAGTCGAATAAAAACTAACAAATGTGTAAATACCTGTTTAGAATCCGTTAATAATGTAGAAAATATGCTTCACATCACACAGTAGGTTCATTAACTTCAATAAATACAATAAAACTAAGAGAATATTCCACAATACGACAAACAAACGATCGGATAATAATGGCGACTGACATTTGGGCGGGAAACGTGGTATGTGTCTAGTGTTTTAGTGGCGCTTTCGTAGAATTGTGCAACAATTGCGTATTAATAGCGCGTAATTCAAACGTATTAATATTAAATAAAATATTAAATATTAAAATAATTTACTTTTTCTGATTAATTTTTATTGCATATATTTATATAATTTAACTATTTTAACATTAAAAATAAATTTCCTGATTATTATTAAGAGGCTATAATGAGATTATTATTGTACAATTGAAATAAAAGATTAATATAATTGATTTTATCTTAACCCTTTGCTTTTTCTTCAATTATTTTTAATATATGTACAATATGTGTATAAAAATTAAACCTAATCTATATAAATATGTAAATCAAGTTATCAAAACCTATGTAACCTCATTTAACAATAAGAAACATAACCTGTTACGAACTAATTCTCGAAAAACAGTTCGATAAAATATTTTATTAGATCAATACATACAAAATCGAGAAATACCAAATATTAAAGCATATATAAACTAAATATCAAGAAATTGGTGACGACAAACTAAATTTATCATTTTCAAGGACAGAAATTCTATTGCGCACAATACAAAAAAAGAAATATTTTTGCTTCCAGAATGGAATAAAAAGTAACAAACGTGTAAATATCTGTTTAGAATTCGATAATAATGCAGAAAATATGCTTCATATCACACACTAGGTTTATTAACTTCAATAAATACAGTAAAACTAAGAGAATATTCCTTACCACGTTTCCCAGCCAAATGTCAGCCATTAATATGTGATTGTTTGTTTGTCGATTGTGGAATATTCTCTTAGTTTTATTGTATTTATTGAAGTTAATGAATCTAGTGTGTAATATGAAGCATATTTTCTGCATTATTATCGGATTCTAAACAGGTATTTACACATTTGTTACTTTTTATTCCACTCTGGAAGCAAAAATATTTCTTGTATTGTGCGCAGTAGAATTTCTCTACTTGAAAATGACAAATTTCGTGTGTCGTCAACAATCTCTTGATATTTAATTTAGATATGCTTTAATATCTCGTCCTTCTCGATTTTGTATATATTGATTCAGTAATATATTTGATATCGAACTGTTTTTGGAGAATTAGTTTGTAACAGGTTATATTTCCTATTGTTAAATGAGGTTACATAGGTTTTGATAACTTGATTTGCACTTTACATAGATTAGGCTTAATTTTTGTACACATTTTGTACATACATTAGAAATAATTGAAAAAAAAGCAAAGGGTTAAAATAGAATCAATTATATTAATCTTTTATTTCAATTGTACAATAATAATCTCATTATAGCCTCTTATTATAGTCAAGAATTATAGTCAAGAAATTTATTTGTAATGTTAAAATAGTTAAATTATATATACAATAAAAATTAGTTAGAAAAAGTAAATTATTTTAATATTTAATATTATATTTGATTCTAGTACGTTCGAATTACGCGCTATTAATATTGCGCAATTGTTGCACAATTTTTCGAGAGCGCCACTAGAACACCAGACACTTACCACGTTTCCCGCCCAAATGTCAGTCGCCATTATTATCCGATCGTTTGTTTGTCGTATTGTGGAAAATTCTCTTAGTTTTATTGTATTTATTGAAGTTAATGAATCTACTGTGTGATATGAAGCATATTTTCTGCATTATTATCGGATTCTAAACAGGTATTTACACATTTGTTACTTTTTATTCCACTCTGGAAGCAAAAATATTTCTTTTATTATATTGTGCGCAGTAGAATTTCTCTACTTGAAAATGACAAATTTCGTTTGTCGTCAACAATCTCTTGATATTTAGTTTAGATACGCTTTAATATTTCATCTTTCTCGATTTTGTGTATATTGATCCAATAATATATTTGATCGAACTGTTTTTTGAGAATTAGTTCGTAATAGGTTATACTTCTTATTGTTAAATGAGGTTACATAGATTTTGATAACTTGATTTACACTTTTATATAGATTAGGCTTAATTTTTGTACACGTATTGTGCATATATTAGAAATAATTGAAGAAAAAGCAAAGGGTTAAGATAAAATCAATTATATTAATCTTTTATTTCAATTATACAATAATATCATTGTCAGTCGCCATTATTATCGGATCTTTTATTTGTCGCATTGTGGAATATTCTCTTAGTTTTATTGTATTTATTGATGTTATTAAATCTGTTGTGATATGAAGCATATTTTCTGCATTATTGTCGGATTCTAATCAGATTCTATTTACACATTTGTTAGTTTTTTTTCCTATATTATTATTCAAATAAAATCATTCATGAATGAATGAAATAAGTAAATAATAAATAATGTTTTTTGAATATTATTTAAATAAAATTTTAGTGTTTGATTTTTATATTATATATTTGATTTTATATTATATAATTTTAATAATAGTATGTGATCCTAGTATGCAAATATTAATTGGAAAAAAATTCCTTTATTATGTCTTTTTTGTAGATAATAAAATTAAAAAAAGAATTGTTAATAAAAATTTAATTAATAAAAGAAAATTAAACTAAGTTTAATAAAACTCATATATTCTTAGCAAAAATTTTCTTCTAAGTACAAAAGTTCAAATGTAAGAAACAGGAAGGTTCAATTATTCTAAAACAGATGCAAATAATTACATGATAATCTTCGCTTTTCTAACGAGTTCTCTTTAAAGTATATTTCTCTCTTTCTCTCTTTTTTTTTGAAACTATAAAGACACCGACAGAATGTCGAGAACATTAATTATTCGGTTTCAAGAAACTAGGCCGGAAATAAGTAATACAGGATTAGTTATTAGTAAAATAGAAATCAAGCAAAAATATTCAAAATAAACAGAATGATGAAATAATTGAAAGCAAAGGGATTGGAATTGGCCGCAATTTCGCTGTTGGACTGTCTCATTGAAATATTAACTAATTACTATATATTGATCAAATTAATCAAATTAAATCAATATTAACCGAAACCACGATTACATCGTTTAATATTATATGTCAAATTATATTTACGCGTTTTAAACGTTAATTTCCATGTTGACTGAATATTCGTTTGGCAAGAAAACAAATTTTATTTTCTTTTTTCTCTTGTATTAATGAAATTAATATAAGAGAAAGAAGGTTAAAAAAGTAATAGATTTGAGTTAATTATTCATGATTCACTGCGTTGTACATGCATGTAAAGTGGTATCATGCACGATAAATGAAAATTTATATTAAGAAACGTTAATCTAAATAAAAGAGATTTTGTTTAATAATAACGAATTGTTAAATATTTAGTAATGTATTTATCTTCAGTTTCAGGAAAAAATATATAATATTTTACCAAAAATTACACATGAATTTTACTTATAAAGGACAAAATTCGAAATATATTTTAACAAATATTTTAATTATATTTTACATTTAACTTCATTATATTTATTTTCATATATATTAATATATATTTCAATACTTATATTAAAATAAAACAAATTATAAAAGTATTATCATAATTTTATTTAATACATACTTTAATACTTTAATATTTTTTAAAAATATATTTTTTACAATGAATAAATATTAATCAAATTCTTTATATGTATTTGGTATTTTATTCTTATTTTAAATATATCGAATTATTCGTTCTTAAATTTGTATTTGCAGTAAAGTAAAGATAAGTATTTGTTTTACTTTTGCTGAAAATCGTTCGTTTCCCATTAGCTATGAATCATGAAACATCCTGTGTGTGCAATCCATTTATGTCTGATATCGTGTGACTGCAAAGCGTGCGCTATGTGATCAAAGCTAGGCAGATTATAATCTGTTAACAGCATAACGTTAAGATAACGTTCATTGCAGCGATAGATATGAGTTATCAATGGTAAACAGATGAGAAAAGCGTAATGGATGTAAATTAATGTTAACAAATACAGATTGATCTAATTTACATATTCGTGTAATAGTAAAATTTAAATTATTAATTTTTTCTTTTTCATTTTTATTTTTAAATATTTTATAACAAATATTATTTATGTAAAACAAAAATTTTTTTTACAACAAAAATTGAATAATTTCTGAAAAGTCTACATAAATTATTAACTAATTCGAAACTATTAAAATAGAAAAAGATATATAAATTCTCTGATTCCTTCAGCATTAGCTTTCAAACAAATCGTCTTTCATCAAAAACACTATCCATATTCTTTCGCATTGATATATCTTTCCGAAATAACATTCAGATTTGTCTAAGCATTCACAATTCCCTTTCATTTCCAGTTTTTCAACAAATTTTTTCGAACAAATTTCACGATTCCAAATATCTCTAAAAATCCTCCTCTCCTCAAACAAGAAACTTTATAAATTCATTTTTCCACCAATCTACCCCTACTAGTATTATGGGATTTCCTTTATTCCGTCGCGACGAATACATAGAAATACCTCGAAACCTATTTTAGAACGACAAAAGCTTGTCAAAGTGGGCACGATGCCATTTGGGGGTCAGCCTTTACCCCGTTATCAAAGTTCCAATTGCGAAAATCTCTTGCAGAAGAAGAAGGGACACGCGTTCCTTCTCTTTTATCGACCTCCCCTTCCTCTCCATCATAGCCGAGGGACGAGAGGCGAAATCCACTTTAAATACCCGCCACGCGTAATCCGAATTCACAATTTAATGAGCTCGAAATGGAGATAGAACAGGATAATAGGAGAGGGAGGGGGGAGCAGGAATTACATTGAAAATGAAACGACTTCTTAACTCCCCCCCCCCTTTCGCGTCCTTGCAATTCGTGCTTCCGGGCTAAGCTGCACGGAAGTGAGATAATGCGTCGTCGAATTCCCCCGCGTATCCCGACCGACGATCGCCTTTCAATTATTCCTGGAATATTGGATCGGGTTTGTATAGGGCGAAGGATTTAAATTTGCAAATAGAAGATTTTTTTTTTATTAATAGAGATTAGAGTATTGGGGGGAAAAAAATATTTACTTTTCCAAATTATGGTAATGAATAAATTGTATCTGGCATTAAATCGATTCAGTCTGAGGGATTTTTGTATATAAAAAAAATTTATTTAATTTGTCGATAAAGATTAAGTAAAGTGTAATAATATTTGAATTAAGAGAAACGTGATGTTTTAGATAAAATAATTTTTGAATAAAAGAATATTTATTTTTTCTAATTATTGTAAACATATGTATTAGATATGATCATAGATGTCATCCTCTGGTATCGAAAAATTTAGTTCATAAATAAAAAAATTTTGTTGACTTAATAATAAACATTAAAGTATACATAAATATATTAAATTGTGATTCAAAAATTAAAATAATTGAATATTGAAATAGTAGAATAAAAACTAGTATTTTTAATAAAATAATTAAAATTAGGATATTGAATAGTTGTGGATATTAGAAATTCGAAGGATTTTTCTAATTTTTTTTTGTCTGTTACAGCTTGGAAAAAAGTCGATAGAAAAACTGGAGAACAGCGATGGTACGCGAAATATTCAATAGAAAAGGTTGCGCGAAAAAGGAAAATTGCACAGAATTTGCAATAAATTTACAGTCAGAGAGATTAAGAAATTTTAGAATAATGGATGTTAAGGGATGTTCGTTTGCTTTTATGGCTTTATATAGGGAGCATCCGTTCTATTGACGATCCTTGTTAATCCTCCATACGCGATTCCACAAGCTCGCATTACAATGGTAATACATGGTATTACAATAAACGTTTTGGGATAAAACTTTTATACTTTGGGATATATGTAGAACATATTTATATTCATAATTTTTTACTAAGCCAATAATAAAAAATATAAATAATATATTAAAACAAATAACTTTATCTTAAAAAACATTACGTAATTAAAATAAAATTCGCAAACGCACATTCTTGATCTCGAATTTAAGAAACAAGTTTAGAAATATTACATTTCTAAATCTTTGAAATGACGGCTATAAATTCTATCCATCTATAGATTCCAAATAAAATAAAAAAAAAGAGAATAGTAATAATAATAATAATAATAATAATAATAAATAGAAACGTATTTAGAAAGAAGTACATCGGATAATCATTCTGAAATTAAAGTTTAATATTCGCTCGAAGCATCGAAGCGTCGAGCCAATCGTTCGTATTCATATAACGTCTCCCCTTTCTTTACTCGTGAATTCTTTCTTCTTGGAGAAGATTCATACCGGAATTCATAAGAAATAGTGCAACGCTAGGCAAATACGGAATCTCGGAAGGTAGTCGCAAGTTCCGGGCAATTTTCTTCTTTTGCTTGTAATCGCTTCCACGATCGCGTCTTTCAACGTGGAGCAAAGGGTCGGCAAAAGGGTGGAAAATAAGGGAAACAGACGCCGGAACGACGAAGATGGACGCACAAAGAAACGGTATGGCTGATATAGAGAAGAGGGTACGATAAGCAGGACGGTGGATAAATAGAGGACGAGATAAGCAGATGTAGGTGGCATTTGTAGGTAAGGAAACGTTACACTGCATCTAGTAGTAAATATTTTATTTTTAAATGTAGAGTATACGATGTGTTACATAAAATTAATTTAAATAATTCGAGATTAAGGGAGAATATAAATGTAATAAGAAATTTTGATTTTATTCTCCTTGTTTTATTAAAACATATATATTTTTTCATTAGATTATTTGAAATTATTAAAATTTCAAATAAAATTTCAAGTAAAATGAATTAATTAAAGCTAAAAAAATTATTTACATTCTACATATACATCTGAAATTTTCGCTTATTATTAAAATGAAATTATAATATCTATATATATTATAATCTACGAATAAAATCAAATTTATCCGACTTATATATATGATCTACATAAAATTTATGTAAAATATTCATGAAGAGTTTGGTTATAATGCTCATATAAATTCTAGTGAACTTGTATAAAATCTAATATCCCATAGAATCTAACATTTCTAACTACCCCCTAACTTACATAAAATCTCCTGAAATCTAAAATCTGTATTAAATTAATTCTTTATAATTCTCGACCAATTCTAAATAATTCTAATATTTTTATTCGTATTTCAATTACAGAAAGAATGGACATGGGCTCAAAATGAAGGTATCATTAACAAACCATCCGAAGCAGTTTATAAAATACGTTCTTTGAGCTCGTATGAAAGCCGTGTTCTCCACGATATAAATCTTTCGAGATGATGAAAGTTATCCGTGTCGCGACGATACGCCGGGAAAAACATGAAAGACTCGAAGAAGTCAATTTCCTATTTGATGGTCGCGCGACCGCCCTTAGACTTTTTTCTTTCTTCTTCTTCTTCTTCTTCTTCTTTTTTTTTTTTTACGGCGCTTAGAAATATTCCTTGACAGAATGTATCTTTAGAATGTATCTTAGCCGTGGAAAATTGTGTTTTGAGAAAAAAAAGAGGCTCTCACCGGGATTGGTTCTGGATGAGGAGGCGGTGTTAATACAGCGGATAATATCGTTTCCTCGCGTATCTCTATACGATAGGGAATAGAAATTTCTTCGTGAAAGAAGATGATTTGCTTCCATTGATCGGGGTTTAATCGGTTTAAAATAATATTACTTTTTATTTCCAATACAAACTCTTGGGAATTTCACTTTAATTTTTAGTTTCTATTTTTGAAACGAATGCAGCTCTTTCTGATAAATTCTTTTGCATCATCTCTCTAATGGAGGATAAATAAAAGTTTCACTTGATTTTCATTAATAAATTGATAATACAATGAAGGAAGAATACGTAAAATCCAATTGTAAGAAAACAAATTAAAACAATATTTAAATCATAAACTATTTTACTTTATATTCAAGCAGACATAAGAATTTACAGATTAAAGAATGCTTATTCATACTTATAAGAATCTATTAAAACAATAACAAATAATAAGTAACAAGATATCGAGGATATCGACAAAAGTTAATAGCACAAGTGCTTTCGAATATCGAAGTTGAGCCAATCATACTTTACTTAAATCTTGTCACGATCACTCGTTCTTATAAAGTCGTTCGCGTTCCGCGAACAAAAACTATTCTCTTAGGGAAAAAAAAAAAAAAAAAAAAAGGAGAAGCAGAAGAGACGAGGAGACAGAAGGCAACCGATTAAATCGGATGGCGGTAAATGAGAAAAGTTCGAGAAGAGTTGGCCGGATGTGACGATAAAAGTTCCGAAATGTAAATGAACATAAAGCATTCCGATTTCCCTTCCCCTTCCTTCCTCTTCCTCTTCCCCTCCATCTCCCTCTCTCTTTCCCTCTTCCTCTCATCTCTTTATTTTCTTTTCTTTTCTTTTTTCTTTTTTTTCCTTTTTTCTTTTTGTTTTAGGCAATTTTGGCCGCGCCATTGTCACGTGATAAGTGTTCATCCGATGGCGAGCTGACGTTTTCAATTACACCGAGCCCTCTATTATCGAGCCAGCCACAGAATTTTTATCGCGTACCTATGATTCAGCGACGATCGAAGGGGAACCGCGAAAAATTGTCAATGGACGATGAGGAAAACGGGTAAATTGGATAATAAAGTTCTCGATTCTTCTCGACTTTTTCATTGTCGCCATCGAACTGGGTCGGTGGAGCGATTCCGCGGGTAACAATGTGGATACACAGAGACACAGAGATTTTGAAATGTATGTATATATATATATATATATATATATATCCGTGCATTGTGAGACTGTAACGTGGAAATTTTTATTTTTCATGTTCTGAGAAAATTGGAAGATGTAACTGTCCGGCTAGGAATACACTCCATTGGAGGAAAGTGCACAGCTTATCGAAGAATTCTCTGGATGGTTTAGAATGTGGTGGAATATGGAAATAGATTTATCTCTTGAGCATAAAAAGTATGAGGGAAAACAGAATTATTTGATATTGATTTCATCAGTTATTTTATTATACAATATATAGAAAAATCCAGTTACCAACTGTTTAGAGGCGATTTTGTAATATTAGGAAAGAAATTTTAAAAATTACGCCTTGATTTCAATTTTAAAGGAATTTTGTCTCGTTAAAATGAAATAATTTTTATATGGAATAATATCTGCGTTAAATTTGTAATAAATTTCTTCAAAGATTAAAAATTTTCGCGTTTTAAACTGTTACTGGATGGAAAAATACGTATTATTTGTTCAACAACAGAAGCGACCAGGTAATAAGAATAAAACTCAAATGTAGATATTTTTTTTATCCTTGCAGTGTTTGCATGCGAAAATGTGCATTACATCAACCACTTTGAGGATATTAACTTTCCATATTGCAAACTTTCATGCTTCTTTTTCAAGTTTTTAATATTATATATGTTTTTCAATTAGCTGAAAAGTTTGCACAAGAAAGTTTCACTAAAAATCGTATGCTTTACAATAACAAGTTGAAATTTTTTTTTATCCCACATACTTTTTAATTTAAATTAACGATGTAGTTTTAAAGAACGTGCACAGCGATAAAATTCTTCTGTTTAACAATCTTTCTGTTTATTTTCTCTCAACAGGTCATCTCGATATTGAAATAAAAAATTCTTGGAAAAGCGTAATCGATTAATGTAATTTACGATATGTATTTATTTATTTTTTTTTCCATTTATTTTTTCTCGATCATCAAATATCATAATCAAAGAAGAAAATACTTTCTACATAACTATTATAGATTAAAACGAATATTTTTATATAATGCAATTTTTACTCGAGAAGAGAACGATTAATCCTATTAATATTTCTTGCCCAATATCGAATTTCCTCGTTGAAGAAAAGACTATTTTAGGAAAAATTTAGGAAAAATCGAAGAAGTCGTTCGATTGGCCTACTTTCTCCGTTTAATCCTGGATTACCAACTGTTCCCTATCCTTCAAATTATCCTCTCGTTGTAGAAAGCTTTCACGGTATCGAGTAAACGACGTTAATAATTCTGCCATTTTAATCTCTTCAATGTAATATTCATTTTTCTGGCGGTTTCGCGATCAAGCCTTTTCATCCCTTCTGCTGGTACAAGGATGATTCTTCGCGTTTAATGGGTTCCATTTAAGCGAATTAAAAAGTCGATTTCTCTTTTCGAGATTGGTGGATGCGTGTATTATGGAGAAATACTGATTTATACGATCATTTTGATGATTTTAACGGAGGCGAAAAATTTTGAAAAGATTAAATTAGTAAAAGTGAAGTTAAATATAATGAAAATTTCTAAATAAATATTTGAATAAGAATTTTATCTATTCTTTCTTTTAATTTTTTTTATTTAATTCTTTGAAAACGTAATTAATTTAAGAATCAAAAATTTATTTCATTTGATCCTAAACGATCTTTAATAGGAATAATTAAACAAAATATATCACAGAAATTAACTGTTATCATATACAGCTTTTAGAGAATTTAAATAAATTAAACGATCATTTGGAATTGTACGAATCAAAGAGATAAAACGACGAATGTGTTAATACAAACTATTTATACGAATTAAGAATCGTCAAACAGACAGAGTTTCTTTCACAATTTTCCCAAATATTTATCAATAATACTAAATTTACTATCCCATATATTCATTCCATATACAGTCTACGATATGATTTTATTTTCGTACGCAATATAACTTAGAACCATTCTTAATGTATTCGATTAGAGAGGATGAGAAAGGGATTCTTACATGACAAAGAAAAATAACGATGGATACAAAACCTTCCAAATGTTCTTCTCTCTATTTCGTTTACCGAGAAATTTCATATTTCGAGTTATATTCCCGAGAAATGGGAATGCTATTATAATTCAGACATATACCTAATATAATATAAAAATAAATAATAACATTACAGAACGATATTTATTTATACATTTTCCTTTCGCTTACCAAAATTAACCCACTTTTGCCGCTGAACTAAAAGAAAAAAAAAAGAAAGCTAAAAAAACCACTCGAAAAACAAACAATCAACACCTCTCCACGCATCAACTTCACCTCGCTCGATTTCCCATTTCCAACGATCCCTCCTCCTTCAAAATTAACCCCCTCAACTCCCGAGAAGAAAGCTAAAGCCAAGCCAAAGCGTCTCGCCCGTTCGAACAGGGCAAAATAAAAAAGAAGGAGAATCTCTCAAAGCCTCTCCTCTCCCTCGCCTCGGTCTCAATCAACAAAAAAAAAAAAAAAAAAAAAATATCGAGCAGAATAATGAATAGAACATGGTGTGCACACATTACCTCACGGCTATGTCGTTGTTCCCCCGCGTTAACCCGACGTCCTCGCTGAAGATGAAGATACGTGTCGCGCCTCGATACCATTTGATGCTGTGAAGCCCCTCGCACTGGGGTAATTTCAGCACGCACGGCAGTTGCACCTCTGTGCCGAGTTCCGCGTGCTTCACGCTCTTCAGCCATGGCTCGCTGCTCCCTGCAACAACGTAACGAAAAAAAGGAAAAAAGAATCGTTTGTGAATCGTCGCTCGTTTCGTTTTTCGCCGCTGTTTGTTTCCCGCCCGTTGTTTGCGAAAAGGATGAGGATCTATGGAGGGGGAGAGGGGGGGAGAGGATGATTCGTTGAAAAAAAACGTGACCGTTCTCCAAGGCCGATTCGGGGCCACCGGTTATTAAACCATCGTCACGTATACGCGATACACGAAGATACGTATGGGGTATATCGTGAATGTAATTTTATGGCGGGTGAATGGTGTGGAGAGGGGCGTTCGAGGTGTGTGTTACGTTTGTATGCGGGTGAATGGGGGAAAGAGTTACGAGTTGGTGGTGGGAAATGCGGGTATGATTACGTGCACCTGAATGGATTCGATTGAATTAAGAATAAAGAGTAGAGATCGGATTGGATTTGGAGTGTTATTGTTTGATAAATTGAAGAGGAATGCTCTAATTTTATGTTTTTTTTTTTTTGAGACGAGTTATTTATAAAATTAATAAATCAGTAAGATTGTTAACGATAATCATCGTTAGGGAAACGATTATTATGCTAAGGGATGATAAGGGGTAAATATAGTAGAAGAATATTTGAATGTAATTGAAGGCTGCAAAAGAGTTTTTTTGATAATTGATAAATATATATTTTTGAGAAAATTTTTTATTATCCTGTATTTTTTCATTTCGAATTGCACTTTAATTGCTTCAATGAATTTTGTAATTAGATATCGTCGAATCAGTGAAACGTTGTCCCCCCCGAAAATGTTGAATCCTTATGATATTCGAACGCAATAAAAAAGTTGTGAAGTTTCATTGTAGAAAGTCAATCTTCACCCGATGACCCAGAACGCATTTCGCGAAATGTCACAGCACGCGAACGTTTCAATATTTCTCTGCTATCGTTGCTAAAGCTATAAATATAGCGACCCTCTCAGAGAGATATGAAATGAAAAATCACAACGAGGGATGGCAACGCGTGACACGGAATCCGGAACAATTTTTCCCCCGAGCCCAAAACCAGTAATTGCATATTTTAAACTTATAAATAAAAATATAATCGAAAGAGAAGAAAAAAAGAAAGAGAGAGGAAGAGAGAAAGAAAGAAAGAAAGAAAAAGTCATTCCAGTTTTAAACATATAATATTTTTAAATTTTAATAAAACACCCGTGCATTCCGTTTAATCGAGAAGAAGAAATTTTCTCCAAAAATATTCACGTTTTTCCCTCCCCCTTATCGCATTATAAAAATATTATCGTTGCGTACTCGTGACGTTAAATCATAATTAAAAACACGGTGAAATCGTCCTGATCTACGCGCAACCTCTGATACCGTGTCGCGAGAGGAAGGTATAGTAAATTTCGCAGTCACAACTTATGATAAACAAGAACATAATTCTTAGTTAATTCACGCGAAAACTCGGCACGGCCGAGGGAGAAAAGTGAGAGAAGCGGCAGAAGGGAGGAGAGGGTAGCAAAGTTGCGAAACTAAAAGCTCCTTGGAAATTGACGATTTAAGATGATTTATTAGCGGTTTCTGTGACTCGAAACCACAATTTCGTACGACGTGTGCACAACCCGACCTGCTCCTTTAATTCCATCTTCTAACGAGATCGTTAGAAAAGTATTTTAATCGGTGAATTTTACAAACGGTGCGTATCAAGATTAAGTTCGTTTTTCTTTTTAAGAGAAACACGGATTTTCCTCGATATTTTTTTTTTTTTTTTCTGTGCACAAACATTTCGATGAAAATTCTGACCGCCATTGAATAAAGAATCCGCCTCGAAGGAGACAGATAATCAGACATCGGGTTTCGCGCCTCGTAACTTATTCAAGCATCGAAAGTCGATATATTTTCACGATAAACTACGCATCGATGAAATTCCGTTAAAGGAAATACAATGCACAATGAATGCGCATCAAAGGGTTATTTTTCAACGGTTGATATTGAATTACGCAGCATGAATCCGATATATTTGGACATAGGTCGCGAATTCCACTTACGGATGGGAAATTGCGATTAATCCGGGACTCGATATCGATTCTTCGTGTTATATTTTATTCATTTTCTTTTTTTTTTTTTTCTTTTGCTTTTACGTTATCGCGTTGTAACAATATTTATTTAATAACGAATCCGTCTTTTAATTTACGTTGTATAAACACGTTGTCGATATTTGATACACATCTCTTTCCGGTGATCTTACCTTTTTATTCGATTCTGCACAAAATGTGAAACGAATGGATAATAATATCAGATATCGATTTTTTTTTTTTTTTTGAAGCTATTTTATATCACAACGAGTAATATTTAAAAAAAAATATTCTACGTATTTACGAGGTAAATATAATTCGTTCGTAGATTTACTGTAATATTATAAACAACGAGATATATAAATAATCCTTCGTGCGAATTCAGGAATAGAATCGTGTTCAAATATAAATGTATGCAACATATCTTTTTTTGCTTTCACTTTGAAATCAACTGGAAGTTCAATTGAATGATATACATTACGAGATATTCCATCATTTTTCATGATTTTTCTCAAAATTATTAATTCCCTTGCTCGACTTTTCCGAAATAAAATCGATGTTTTAATCGATCCATTCGAATGATTAAATTATTTATATATAAAAATACGTGAAATACGAACAGCGATTAAATCCTCCGCCGCCATTTAAATACCATTTAAACTTCAATTGTACGCCCGTTTTATCTCGTCTGACTGCGACACTCCTTTTCACTTTATCACTGGGAATCGAACCATCTTATTATATCCCTTCAAAGGAGGAGACTGGGTTACTTATGTTCCCCTTCCAGGAATAGGGAGGACCTTAAAAAGGGTAGACGTTATCCAACGCTATGGGAACGAAAATCTGTTAAAGAGTTCGAAAGGGAGGGGGAGGTGGCAAGTGTGGTGGAGGCAACGTGTGCTTATCTTCCTGCGAGTGGATTGGATCTTGAAACCATATCACACCGCAAATATTACGTTCAAGTGGTGAATAATGGAGTATGTCGAGGGCTCTCATATTACAGCTTCATTCTTCGTCTCCAGTGACACGACTCGGCTGTGTTTAACGATTCTGTTCTCGAGTCCCTTAACTCGTTTCCTATTCTCGAAAAACGTTTCTTTATTAATCCCTCTTTTCGATTTTCTTTCCTTTTTTTTTTCTTCCAGTTAAACGTTTCGTCTGTTAAGAATTTTATGTATTTTTTCGGAACGAAAGTGGATAATTAATCTAAAAATCTAATAATTTCTCCCGCACAAAAATTTCTTCCATCTTTTTCGTAAAACTCGACTTTTATTTTTATTTGTTATCGAGAACCAATTATTCCTCCTCTTCCGTTAATTCTTATGGAAAAAGTTGATTCCATTCTTTCCTCGTTCGTTTCTCAGAAACGGATCAATGAAAGATACAATTCCATTGTATTATTCGATACAGCGTTTAATTTTTGTGACATTTCTTAACAATTTCGAATTTGTTCGAGAGAATCATCAAGGAAATGATCTATCAATTCTATCCATTGAATTCTGTATAAAATCTACTCGAGCTAATCGAGAAATATTTTTTCCCTCTGATCTCTAATTCCAATCAAATTTGAACTTTCGTGCATATATACTTGGTGATCGTAATATACAGAGATTTATTGGATCGATTTGCAGAAATATATTGAAATAAGCGTTATACGTTGAACACCCATGTTTAATTAATCTTTCATTATAAAATAAATAATTAAGCAAAGGCAAATGTAATTAATATGTGCATATCTTGCGCAAATAAATTGTATATTATCGTATAACGTTTAACAGGATTACGATCGGTTCTCAATCATATTTTGTAATCGCTTAATTCGATTCAATATATTATTCTTATTTCTTGTATCCTATTAATAATTATCGACGTGCGATTAATCGTTTATCGGCCCGAATATAATAATAATAATTATAGAAAGTTTCCTGATTAATTAGATTAACTTTAACTTCGAGCCTTTCTCTTCTCTTTCTCGAACGATTAAAGAGTTTTGGCAAAAGTGAAAAATAAATAGTAGTAAACAAGAATCGCAACAAAGTTGCGTTATTCACAACCTAGTTATAATTTCGTCGTAAGGGTGTCTTTGTTTTCGGCGTATGAAAGCAAAAGCACCACCCCAAGGGATCCTTTCTTTGACGTAAAATTCTCTTTTATCCAAGAAGCTTTATCAATAAATAAATGCAGCTAGTTGTACGAGTGTAAAAGAATCGAGTAAAGGTACGATTAAATAGACTTATTCATGATCCACATGAGCCTCTGAAGAAAGTGGGAGAGACAAGGGGATGTTTGAAAAATCAGATAGAAAAAAAAAAAACCGAGACTTCAATTTTTTCCTTTGAATCTCTATAAAGAATCTCTTTGTTAGAAAAATTTCACGATTGAGATACATCTTTGAGATCACTCGTTAAAGAAATTTTATTATTTACTCATGTATTACTTCTTTTTCAAAATTGTTATTTTTTAAATTTATTATATTTTCAAATACTTCAAGACTCATCGATGATGACACACACAAATGTTGATAACGTGATTGATCAATTATGCTGGATTAAAAAGATTATTAATGACACATTACGTATCGTTCGACAAATTTTAACTCAAAAATCGTCTCGTTCCATTTCAAATATATATTCGATTTGAATCAAAATCGAACGAGTTAATTTCAACCATATGATTAATCAATGAACTTTCAGCCAATTCACCCAGAAACACAACCGCCTCGCGGTAAATATTTATCACGCGAAACTGCGTGCATATATAATGATCCTCCGAGGATTTACAATTGCGCCGAATGCGCATCTTGCCAAATCCTGGGAATTTCCTCCTCCCACCAATTCGCACAGTTCCTTCGAATTTCTAACAGCCGTATACCGATACAGTTTCGAAGAAACATCTGTGCTCTATGTCTTCTATATAGTCCCATTATCGATCCCTTTCCTCTGTTAACTCGAAAACAGAA